AGTTTTGGCGTAAGGGAGGACAGGGCGCGTGCAGTCCGGGCTGTGGGGCGGGTGGGGGTTGGTTGGACGGAGGCCCCTGAGGGCCAGCAGCGGCTGTGGAGCCTGAGACTGCTGCCTGGGTTTGAGCTACTGGACTACGGACTGCCAGCGATGGTGGAGTGGGCATCTGATTCTGAGAGAGAAAAAGAGAAAAAAAAAAATTAAATTAGACTGGGTGGTATTACTTTACATGGAGGGCTGGGCATTGTATTACATACTTACAACATATTCCTGATAGTTTTATTGGTGATATAACACTACGTATTGTGAATACTGCAGTGATCTTAAGTTTGTTCTGTTTCCTGAAGACTCTTTCATGGCTGCTTCTTGTTTCACTGATCATTTCTGTCCATTTCAAAGAATCTGTTCAACTGATTCAGCAATTAATGTGGCTTATATGTTTTAGAATGTTTTTTGGTTTTACAATTTTAAAATGTTTTAGAAAAATATTTAAATATTTCTATGTATTTCTTCAGTGAAGAACCATCAGTGAAAAAAAATGTGCCATTATTTATTACTAGATTTCTTTTTACTGTACTGTTATTTGGTCTAAATGTTTTTGTTGAATATATTACAGATAGTTTGAAGTTACTAATAGAGGTCTGCGTGGGACTATTTTTTTATATATTCCGCACCCACCCGCTCCCGCTATATATTCACTCTGTTCACCCGCTGTCCGCTTAGAATAATTTTCTTACCAACCCGACCGTCCCCGCTAAATTTAGATCTTGTTTCCAGAATCTCACATTTAAATTTCCGCTACTGAAAGAAAGATTTTATTCGTCTTGTCAAGAGTCTTGAATTTATTGACTTTGACTTGAATTTATATGAATTATCTTAAGACACAAAATTTGTTTAATTTATGCAACACAGTAGGAAAAAAAAAAGTGTCAGAGAAAATAAAAAATGTTGTACAAAAATTGTATTTCGTCTTTTCAGGATACAATTTGTTTAAAGGGGTCATATGATGCGATTTCAAGTTTTCCTTTCTCTTTGGAGTGTTACAAGCTGTTCGTGAATAGATAAGATCCCTAAAGTTGCAAAGACTAAAGTCTCAAACCCAAAGAAACATTCTTTATAAAAGTTAAGAGTCAGCCACATCCTCCTAAAACTCCTCGTTCTAACACGCCCCCACATGTCACGTCACTGTGTGGGAAGATTTGCATAACGCCGGCCAAATGTTCATGCAAAGAAAGAAGACGTAAATTATTGTTGCTGCCACCGCCGCCATATTGTGAAGGCACTGTGTGTTTCGTTGCGAAAGCAAAACTACTTTGTTTGGCCTTCCAAAAGAGGACGATATCCGCTTCGTCATGCCTGGAGCTGATCCGTGC